CTCCGCTGTGGCCACGCCGTAGTGGCCCATGGCCCACCGCGGTGCTGTCCTCCGGCCCCAGCTTCCTGCCCCCCCGGTCCTGCGGCCGCACCTGCCGCTCAGCTGGGCACGGCGTGGTTGTTGGCGTAGTCCTGGTTCTCAAACGTGGGCAGGAAGCGGTCGGTGTGGACGGAGGCGTAGAGCTCGCCTGGCGGCTGGGCAGCCTCCCGGCCTGCGGCGCACCCTTCGGCCCAGACCTCCAGCTCCGAGCACCGCGGCCCGGCCAGGACCACGTCCGTGTACTGGATCTCGGTGGTCCCCGCGGCCGCCTCGGGCAGCAGCCGGCCTGGGCTCTTCAGCTTGAGGTTCGCGTAGCAGGTCGGCTTCTAGGGGCGGAGGCAGACGCAGGGCTGGGAGCCAGGGGACAGGCCCAGGGCTGCTCTCACCCCTCGCCCCTGGGAAGCACAGGCAGACTCCTCCCTGCCGGCCACAGCACCCGCCTCAGGAAGGGCTGGGCTCAGGGAAAGGACCCCCACACCCCTCCCTCCATGTAACACTCGGGGCCAGCCTGGCTCCGGGTTAGACCCATGCCTGCTCCCCAGGGCTTCAGCCGTAACCGCACCCAGCTCTGGGCACCAGGACAGTGACCCAGGCGGCCCCACAGCTGCCATGGGATGCCCTCTGCCAGCAGGGTCAAGCCCAAGCAAGATGGCACCGGAGGAATGGGAAAGCAGCTGGGTCCTGGATGCTGCCGTCCTTTCCAGCCTGCAGGGATCTGTGCCCCAGCGCTGGTGGCAGTGCTGCAGGGCACCGCAGCGGAGGCCGGAAGAGGGGGAGGGGAGGGGAAGGCTGGGTGCAGAGATGCTTGTGCTGATACCCCACCACTTCCTGCCACTGCACAGTGCAGCTGCTGCTCAGGAGCCTGCATGCACAGCATTCGCACCCCCACCCACGCATCTGCCGTCGCCCCTCGTTCTGGGCCCGCAGCCCCCCCAGAGCCCTGCCCCTGCCCAGCACCAGACAGCAGCCAGGGGGCCCCAGCAGCCAGGACCCCCAGGTGTTCAAGGACATCAGCTCACCTTCACCCTGGGCTCCCGCTCAGACTCAGTCTTCACTGTGTCTACCCCCGAGCCATGTCCTATCAGAAAGCAAAGAGTAGAGGGGCCAGCTGAGAGTGGATGTGGGGTCCCAGGATGGGCCCGCTCTGCTTTACAGGCCTGGCAGTGCCCAGCTGTATTCATGGTGCAGGATAGGGGCAGTAGCAAGCAGGGTGCCTGCTGCATCCTCACCCTAAGGCACGAGCTGCCACTGCACCAGCAGCCAGCCAGCATCCACCCAGCAGCAGCACCCAGGCCAGGGCCCAGCTGGGGGCAGAGAGGTTTGTGGGCACAGAGATCCATGCCACCAGGATGGGGCTCCACATGCCAATGAACATACGATGGGACACACCTTCCCGTCCTGTGCTAGGGCCCTGGCATGTCCACCCCTCTTCCCCCAGCCCCTGCCACTGCTCACCTGACTGCAGGTAGCTGATGTTGCCATAGACAGGCACCTCCTCTGCCAGGTGTGCCGCACTGTGGAGGAAGAGACGGGGGTCAGAGGCACCAGGGGACCGTGGGGGGACGGGGAGTAGGGCAGGGTAAGTGTGCCCCTTCCCCCAATCACAGCCACATGCAGCTGGGCCTGCAGTGAAAATGCAGAACTGGGCACCAGGACTCCTGGGTTCCACCCTCCCCTCCTGGAGGCAGAGTCCCTGCTCTCTGGTAGAGCAGCCCTGCAGAGTCGGGGTGCCAGGAAGGGCTGGCTCTGGCCCCGTTTGGATGGCTTCTCCAAGTTCTTCTGCTGGACTCACCTTCCCCGGAGTCGAGTCACATGCAACCGGAGTTTATCTGCAGGCAGGGAAAGGGGACAGAGCAGGGAGGTTAGCCTGGCAGCTGGGCAGTGCCCATGGGGGCAGTATGCAGCAGTGCCCAGGGCAGCAGGTCAGGCTGCCTGCAAGAAGGGAGTGCAGGGGAAGGAGACTTCCAGGATGACTGGGAGCTTCCCCTGTAATTGCAGGGGTGAGGGGTACAGGTCACCCTTGCCCCAAGAACAGCTGGTGGCTCAAAGCACAGGGAGATGGGCTGGCTCTGGGGTGCCCCTGCCCCCAACGATACCTACCTCTGACCTTCTTGTACCTCAGGCAGCACAGCACGTTGCACACAAGGGAGAGCAGATAGAACAGGGCCAGTGCCCCCAGGAGCCCCCACAGGGCACAGGAGCCCTGCAGCTCCTCCAGGCCTGCAGGACAGAGAAAGTGCTGGGAGCCCTCGCCTAGGGCTCTCTTCCCCTCAATGTGGGCACCAGCCTCCATGCCTGCGCCGCCACCCCCACTCCCACGGCCTGGAAAGTGCTGGGTCCTCTCCATCAGCAAGGCCAGTTTGAGGGAGTTTCCCTCGCACAAACACCCCCAGCACCCTGGGGAAGGGAAGGGGGGGTCACATTGAGTAACCTGAGGAGACAATGGGCCCCCGTGTAACACAGCAGCCCCCACTCACCCAGGAAGCAGCTGCCGTTACAGGTACCACAGGGCGCAGGCGTTCTGGACATGCCACTCCCTCCAGAGATTCAGGGCTGCAGACAGGAGTCACTCCAGATCCCAGACCAGTGCTGGCGCCAAGGGGAGTCAGTCTGGATCCAGGCAGATGCCAGAGCTGGGGGGAGTCGCTCTGGATCCTGGGTAGACGCCCACCCCAGGGGAGTCACTCCAGATCCTGGACAGATGCCCGCGCCAGGGGTGTCGCTTCAGATCCTGGGTAGATGCCTACGTCAACCCAGGAGTCGCTCCAGAGCACAGGGACTTGCAGTCACCCCAATCCCAGCAACACCAGCCTCACTCTGGTGCCTCCGTAGCCTGGGCAGGGTTCCCACCCCGTCCCTCCCCCTCCTGCCGGTACTCAGCATCTGTGCAGCTGGGGATTTCCGGAGCCACAGACACCTGCTCCACAGCTCTGGAGCTGCTGCTGCAGCAGTGGCTGCTGGACCCAGGCTGGAGCTCCCAGCCTGGCAGGACGAGGCTGAGGGCTGGGAGGCATCTGTGGGGCACGGAGAAAGGGCAGGAGGTGCGGAGGTTCCCATAGCCAGCAGGGAAGGGTCCCCAACTCCCAGAGAGCCCAAAACACATGTCCCAGCCAAACCCATGGCAGGTTTTGTGACAGTCCCACCCTGCTTCTCAAGCCCCCTCTCGCTGTCCAAATCTGGCAGGTTCTGATGACCTGTGCGGAGGGGTCCCAGTCCCCAGCCCTGTCCCCACGCCTCCCAGCCTCCAGGGTGGCTCCAGTGAAGCCAACTTTGTGCAGCGCACACCAGCCTCACTGCAGGAGCTCTTGCCAAACCCTGCACCTACAATTGATGACAGGTTGGGAGTCCCTCCTAGCCAGCACTGCTCCCCCAATCCCCATCTCGGCTGCTCAGGAGGAGGGAAGGGGGCTTCTGCCCCCCTCCCCCCACACCTGGGGGAGCCACAGGGGGGACGCTACCTCCTCCCCTGATCTGGGCTGGCAGCGTGGGGGGAGCAGACAGCACTCTGCCTCTCCCCAGCCCCACCCAATCACTTCTGGGGAGGAGGAGGGGCTTCGGTCTGGTCCTGATTGGCTGCTGTAACCCAGGAAGGCAACACAGGCAAAGGCAGCCAATCAGAAAGGCTAGAAGCCCTGTCAGTGCTGGAAAGATTTCATAGACATTAGGGCTGGAAGGGACCTTGTAAGATCTTCGAGTCCGGCCCCCTGCCCCAGGGGCAGGAGGTCAGCTGGGGTCAAAGGATCCCAGCAAGATAAGCATCCAAATGTTTCTTAAAAGAGTCCAGAGTAGGTGCCTGCACCACTTCTGGAGGAAGTCTATTCCAGGCCTTGGGGTGTTGGACAGTAAGGAAGTTTTTCCTTATGTCCAGCCTAAAGTGGTCTTGGAGGAGTTTGTGACCGTTGGACCTCGTCATCCCTTGGGGTGCTCTGGTGAACAGGCGTTCCCCCAGATCCTGATGCACACCCCTGATGTACTTATCGGCTGCCACCAAGTCACCCCTGAGCCTGCGCTTCTCCAAGCCAAAGAGTCCCGTGGCTCGCAGCCTCTCTTCATCAGGCCTGTTGTCTTGCCCTCTGATCATGCGTGTGGCTCTCCTCTGCACTCTCTCTAGCTTCTCCACACACATGCTTCTTGAACTGTGGAGCCCAGAATTGGATGCAGTACTCCAGCTGCGGCCTCACCAAGGTCCAGTGCAGCAGGAGGATGACATCCTGGGTCTTGCTCGAGGTGCATCAGTGGATGCAAGTCAGAGTTTGATTGCTTTGCCAGCTGTTATCGCATTGGTGACTCATATTCATCTTGTGGTCAATCATGACCTCCAAGTCTCTTTTGGTCATGGTACTAGCTAGTGTAGCACTGCCAAGCCTATAAGTGTGATGGGGGGTTTTGTTCCCAAGGTGGAGCACTTTGCATTTCTCCGTACTGAATGCCATGTGGTTTTCATCTGCCCACCTTGCAAGTCTATCAAGGTTGCCCTGGATCACCAACCTATCCTGAAGTGTGGACACCCTTCCCCAAAGTTTGTGTAGTCAGCGAACTTGGCCAGATCGCTTTTGACACCAGTGTCCTATCTCGGTTAGTCTATAGGTGCCTTTCTACCCTACCCCTACTCCACCACTCCCATTCCCACCCTGTGACCCCACTGAGTCCCACCCACCAGGCCCACCCTCCCTTCCCCCTCCACACGCAATCGTTTTCCATCACCTCATCCTTCCCTCCCCAGTCCCGAGCCCTGGCCATGCGCTGCCCTGCTCCCCCCATCCCTGGCACAGATCCCTAAGCCACTTTGCCACATGCTGCCAAGTTACAAGTTTATTATTATCAGGAATTTGAGGGAGGGGGAGCTCCAAGCTCCTGCAGCAGAGGGAGCCAGGACGTAGGCTCCCCGATGCTGTGCACAGGTGTGCTTCAGATCCTCAGGACCACAGGCCTGATGAGCATGCACTGGGGGCACGGCTGTACCTGGATCAGCCTGCGAGGTAGGCAGCCCCCTCACCCTCCTCCTCCCACCGGCAGGGGCTCAGCACAGGTCTGCAATATGCAGGTTCCCTCCCACGCCGGCCACAGCCACCACACACCCACCACACGCCACTGCCACAGCCTGCACTGGCTTGTGTGGGAGCAGGATCTGACCGAGCACCTAGGAGCACAGAGTGGGTAGCCCCGGGTCAGGCAGGCCTGAGAACCCAGAGCCCCCCACACCAGCCCTGCTTCCCCAAGCCCATGGAGAGTCTCAGCTCAGCCCTGGCCTCGTTCACACCCTCTCTGCACCCCCACAACTCGGTGGGGGCCTGGGGCACACTCTGCAGGGCCCCCCCAAGCTCCACTGCTGCCCGCAGGGCAAGGAGGACCAGCCCTGTGTCACCTGGTGGGTGCTGATGCGGATGACGCCAGCCCCACAGGTGCCGCTGCCCCCAGCCAGCACCGTGTCTGGGTCGCAGAACTGGGCTGCATACAGGAACTGGCCCTGCGTATGGCCCCCGGGGAACGGCAGGTTCTTCTGCAGCTGGGACGTCCGTAGGTCCCAGAGCTGCAGCGCGTTGCGGGGCACCCAGGAGGCCGTGAGCACGCAGTGACCCTGGGGAAGAGGAGATGGGGGCAGATGCAGCATGTCAACCCCAGCATGCACCCCAGAGCCAGTGAGCACAGGCTGCCAGTGGGGAAGGGGAGCCCGGCTCAGGTGTGCAGCACTTCCAGGTACAAAGGATGTCTCTTTGAGGGGAGCAGGTGGAGGGACCATCAGGTACCTTCTGGTCAGATGACCACAGCCCAGCCCAGGAACAGGCATGTTGCTGGCCACATCCCCTGTGATGCCCCTCCACATGCCCCACATCCATCTCACCCAAATGTCAAGGCCTGGGCCACAGATGTGGGGCCCATTGATCACACGCTGAGCCTCCTTCCTTATCCGCTTGTCCCAGACCTAACACAGGAGGCAAACCAGCAGCTCCAGCAGGACCCAGCCCCGCTCCCCCCTGGCCCCCTCTGACCAGCACCCTGAGCCCTGCCCCGCAGGGCCTCACCTTGACACTGTTGTCCCAGCCGCCCGTCAGGAAGATATGATTTTCCTGTGGGTGGAAGCGGAGAGCGAAGATGCGGCGGGAGGCCCCACTGGTCACTGCCACATCCCCCGTCATGAAGTCCGGAGCCTCCAGTGTATGAAACAGCTGGGGGAGAAGTAGGGACAGAGGCTGAAGTCCTAGGGAGCAGGATGGGCCCAGGGGCTGGGGAGAAGAGCGCAGGGAGCAGGGCGAGGATCAGGGATGAATGGCAGTGGAGAGGGAGGCTGGCAGCGCAGTGATCCTGGGGAAGGGGAGTCAGGGGCAGAGGTGGTGCATGGCCGCACTAGACAAAGGGGGCAGGAGAAGGGCAGGGGATGAGGATCTCAGCTGGGGGAGCCGGGACCCCCTGCTCAATCTGGCTCCACACGCCGCCTCCCCATGCTGGGGCACCAGCCCCTCTGCCCCATGCCGGCACAGCGCCCATGTCACAAACCTGGCGCTACCCACCTGCATGGTGCAGCTGTCGTAGAGCCGAATGTGGCGGTCGGTGCCGGCCGTGGCAAAGACGCTGCCATCCAGGCAGAAGTCCATGGCGTTGATCTCATTCTCCTCCTCTGCCAGGGCACCAGGGAGGGGCTGTGGCTGGGGAGGGGGGAGGAGGGACCCCCCCCCCCCACCAGTCACCGCTGGGGCCAGGGCGCGGAGGGGGAGCCCTGCCGCTAGGATTACCAGGTCTGGGTTTTCCTAGACATGTCCTCTTTTTGAGCCCTCTGGTCTGCGTCTGGGAGGGTTTTTTAAATCTGCCGAAATGCCTGGGATTTTGCTTTCCTCCTCTGCTGGGAGCAGGGGGAGAGGGGGCGGAGGCAGCAAGGAGCACAGTTGCGGAGGCGCAGGCTCCCCTGCCTTCCGCGGGGCTGTGCTAGGGCAGGGGCCGCTGGGTTTTCCTAGACATGTCCTCTTTTTGAGCCCTCTGGTCTGCGTCTGGGAGGGTTTTTTAAATCTGCCGAAATGCCTGGGATTTTGCTTTCCTCCTCTGCTGGGAGCAGGGGGAGAGGGGGCGGAGGCAGCAAGGAGCACAGTTGCGGAGGCGCAGGCTCCCCTGCCTTCCGCGGGGCTGTGCTAGGGCAGGGGCCGTGCGACGGAGGGGCCGGCTCCTCCAGCGGGGAAGGGGCCGGGGGCCCGG